CTACAGTGATTTATCTTTCAACTTCCTAAGGGATGTTTTACATTTCAGTAAACAACAGGATTATATTAGCATGGACCAATTGGGTAAATTTGTTTCTAGGAGATAATAAATAACAAAACTACTTGGTTAAAAATCAGAAACAAAATAATTTGTTCTTGTCATCTGGTGGTGGTTAAATGATGAAAAATATTTCTCTAAGGATTTAATCCGTGAATATAGTTTGAGGCTAGTTCTGACTGTATTCAATCTTATTGTACAGAATGCTCTCAGATCTCTGCATGTGAATGTGGAATACTTTTGAGAGGATGTTTAATAGTTTTGACTAAAATATTTAGGCAGATGGATAATAAAGAAACTGGATGAGTCAATTCTACCATCTGTGCCTATGGTGGTTAGTTTATATGCCATGGTTTCATGAAGAGCATTTTAAGTGATTGATGTTATAACTCTTTGCTCTCTGGAAAACAACAAGTGTGAAGGGATTTTAAGAGAGGATAGATAAATGATTAAGAATTTCTTTCTTTCGTTCTTTTTGTTCTCTCATACATACATTGATTTATAGAGGGAGTGTTTGCTTCTCATATATATTATAGTAGAAGGCTTTGATTTATATGAGTATGTGCCTTCCAAGCATAGTAAGAAGTTTCCAGGTATAAGTAGCTCAGAACAATCTGAAGTGTGCTAAAGCGTGCTAAATTTTTGACCATGAAGAAGTAGAAAGGTGAGACCTTGTTTCCACTGTACAGTGTTAATTTTATTAACAGTTGATTCTCTCACTTACTATAGACATATTTACCAAAATAGTTGTTAAGCATAAAGGATACAGGTCTCTGTGCTTACCCTGAAATCCTGAAATCTCGCTCATTGTCTACGTTAATTGGATTTAAGGGACAGAGGGAAGGGGGAAAGAAGTCTGGGGAGATTTTTACTTCTTTAATTCTATTCTCTTGGGCCTTATTTTTGAATTTGGAAATTTCTTCTCCTAAATGTTTGGTAATAGAATGCATTTTACCCAAAACTTGAATTTGGATGACCTCATGCCAACCACTTTTCTTTATTCCTGAGAAAGGTGCTTTCGCTGATTCATTTTAACAGCAGTTCTGCAAATATTTTTGTGATTCAGTGACGTGAATCATTCACTGAACATGGAGTTAGCCTAACATTGTTACACAAATTTTAATATGTGTATTTTATGTAGCCGAAAAGAGAGCTGTAAATGACTGTAATGTGAAAGAAAATTACTGCCTTGCCAAATTACTATTTTCCTCCAACTTAAATTCATTCCTGGGGCAAATAATTCTGAAACTGTCTAAAGAAAACAAACAAATTATAGCAATTTTTAGTAAAATGTATAATGAACTGGGACTTCAAAAATATTTTATGTGATCAAAATTAAATTCTCATTAAATATTTTCATTGATTTAGGGACATTTTTGCCATAGAGAAAGACTGTATTGACTGAATTCAATCCAAACATAGTTTCTCCAGCTCGTGATTCTTATTACAAATTTCTCCTAATGAAACTGACCAACTGAGACTGGAGGTATGACTCTTGCATGAAGTCCTCAGTTCAAATCTTAGTAACTCCAAAAGAAAACAAAACAAAAACTGAGAAACAATGAACGAAGCAGTTCTACTTAGTATAATAAAGGAACAAAGAGATGTACATGCAACCAATGAAATGTTGGTTTTTCCAAAAATGGAAAAAGAAATATTTATGATACGTGAGATAAAGATATGTATCCATGCACCACTGGCTCAGACCTGCTATCCTTGCTTCTCAGGAAGCTGACATCTGAAGATAGAGGTTTGAAGTCAGCTTGTAGAGGAAAATCTGAAACTGAACTCTAGTTACCTAGCAAAAAACAGGAAGTGTGGCTTGAGTGGAAATAGTAGCATCCTTGAACAAAAAGCTAATCAAGAGTGTAGGCCCTGAGGTCAAGCCCTAGTAAACATACACACACACACACACACACACACACACACAAGCACACACACACAATGCTGCAAACCCCAAACTATTATCAATGTACCCTTAAAAATGTACCCTTAAACGATTTGTTGTAACATTTTTCACTTCCTATAAGGTCTGTCTTATCTGGTTAAATGATTGAGCATATGTATATGTGTGTGTGTGTGTGTGTACATATATGTATATATATCTACAACACACACATATATGTATATATATATATATGCTCACATATGCTCACATATATATTTAACTGTTTCCTTGTGATGTATATATATATATATATGTGTGTGTGTGTGTGTGTGTGTGTGTGTGTGTGTTTAACTGTTTCCTTGTTTTCTTTTCAATAGAACAAAATTTGTTCTTCATGAATTTTATATTTGACTATGTAAGAAATGAATATTTTATTAATGGCCATCCATAGAATAAAAACAAAAAATGTGAATCAGTTTGATTTATCATTTCTAGTACAATAAACTAATTGTAGGCTGTATATACAGGTTGTTTTATATAATTGGCTTGATGATTTTCCATGATGTTGAAGGTCAGAGTAGATAGGTTTAACTCATTTTGAGCTTCCCTTGCTGCAACATAGTATATGTACACATATAGATACAGAACTGCTTGGAATTTAATGTGATTTTTCTATGTTTCTTATTCTTTCTTACTGTGAATTCATGTTTGGCAGGGAATAAAACAAAGGTAAACTTATTCAGCATTGGCTGGAATTCACATTAAGTATAAATTACAGAGCTGCAAGTAGGATCAATGAACCAATAATTAGGTCGAGTCTCTAGTGAGTTTAGAAGATTCTATTGCTTTGTGTATGTGTTGAGTTCTGATTTGGTTTTTTATTTCAGTTACAAAACCAAGGCCTTAAGAAAGACTCCACATAGAGCTCCTATGACCCAGCAATCCCACTTTTGGGCATTTACCCGAATGATCACAAACAAGACCATACTACAGCTACCAACACATTATTTTTATTTACCCTAGCTAAGATATGGAACAACCAAGATGCTCCTCAGTAGATGACTGGATTAGGTAAATGTGGTATACATACACAATGGAATTCTATGCCTCCATCAGAAAGAATGACAATGCCCATTTGTTAGGAAATGGAAAGACTTGGAAAAAATTATATTAAGTGAAGTAAGCCAGACACAAAGAAACATAGGTCCCATGGTTTCCCTTATTTGCAATAACTAGTATATGTTGAGGTTAAGCGAAATAAACCCCAAGATAAGGACTCAAATGTTTTTTTTCTTTCTTGCAAATGTTTGTAACATATTTATAAGATGATTTCTTTGTTGCTTTGTATGTCCCTCCCCCACAGTATAACCCCTGCTTTCACTGTATTTGATGTTGGTATAATTTGTGGAGGGGAAGGGAAAAAACAAATTGCTTAAATAGGGATACAGGTGGACCCATTGCAACAATGAGATGTACAAGATGTTATGTCGACAAACGAACTTTACAACTTTGCCTGGGGAGGTGGGGATGGGAGGGCAGGGATGGTAAGGGGAAACAAAGGAGGAGGCAACAATGCTACTTTGCTCTTGTAATTGTAACTGCTCTGTATGGTACTAATTTCTATCTGAATAAGTTGGGAAACAAAGCAAGATATATTTTTCTCTTAGAGCTTTATTTACTACCACCATCACTATTACTACTACTACTGCTGCTGCTGCTACTACTACTAATACTGCTAAGCACTGTTACTTGTACCTGTACAGCAGCTTCTAATGAAGGCCTTGAGTTCATACTTGTGTTTTTGGCTTGAAGCCAGTGTTCTATCACTTGAGCCTTACCTTTATTCCCCTCTTAGAGATTTATTAATTCACTGAATCTATGTTGTCCTGCCAAAAAGTGACTATTGTAATCTTGTCTTTCAACATCATGATGATTATGGATTTTTTTTTCTTCATTGATATCTGAAAATCAGAGCTAGTGATTTTTACCATAATTTGAGAAATCTTAATGATCTTAATGAATTTTCCCTTGTAATTTTTTTAAAATGTTGTGCATTGTGTGTTTGCTTGTAATGAAATTTAAAGCATCTATATTGTAGATGTTTTAAGAGTCATACAAAAATGCATCTTTGCACAGTGTTCAGTTGACAACTTACATTTTGGAAGAATTGTTATTTCTACAATGAACTCACAAGAAGAGAGAAAATGGAAATAAGCAGAAGTTGGTTGTTTTTGCAGGTCATGAATTTGGTTTGAGACATAGGAAAAGTAATTTATTTTTTCATAGTTATTTTATTTGCTGTCTGTTTTTCTATTGCATTTCAACAACATAGATAGTAGCCATAATTCATATTTATGGTATATTTTAGCAACACTAATATCCGGACATATTCATTCATATTTATTCTTTCTATATAGTTAATACTAATTCAGCACTTTACAAGAATATGAGAATTTTTGCATTAGACAACCTGATTTATTTTACGATTTTAATTTATTGTTTTTGGTCCCTTATTTGAAACTGAGGAGAAAATATCTGGCAATTTTGCATAGATGCACCTTTATTAAATAATTTCAATACTGGGAAGATAATATGATTTTTTTAAATATAGTTTTAATAATGTTAGGAAGATCATTATTTCACCCCTTTCTTGTCTGTTTAATGTTATCATGTGGATTATTTAATATATTCATGATCTTTCTATATATGTATGTCAGTGATGAACTTAACGTGTAAACACTGCACTTAATTTTTTTCTTGACAAATGTCTCTCAATCTCATATTGAGATCTTTTTCCCAATGCAAAATATGCTATTCTAATTCCACGAATAAACCCTTAACATGGGCCTATGCTTATACATTTTCGTGGGATATACTGTGAAGGGAATGAAATAAAGGGTCTATTAGTTAAACATATCTACTGTGTGTGTATGTGTTATGTATGTATGTATGTATGTATGTATGTATGTGTGTATATATATATATATATATAATGCTTTATTTTTTATCTAGTTTATGCCCTAATCAATAAAGTGTTCTTTTTTTTTTCTTTTAGAGTAATGAAGTTGTCTACTACAATGCTAAGGATGATCTTGATGTGAGTATTAAAATAAATATAATCTTAGTTATAATAATTTATTATTTTTACAGCACAAATTAAACAGTGGATCTAGTTTTAAAGAAAGTATTTGATAGCATAAACAAATTTTGATGCAGACACAGCTGTATAATGATAGATTTTAGTCCCTGTGTGATTTAAGAAATTTTCTTAGCTGGATGCCTTTGGCTTGTACCTGTAGTCTTAGGTACTCAGGAGGCTGAGATCTGAGGATCATTGTGCAGAAACAGCCTGGTCAGGAAAGTCCTTGAGACTCTTATAATCAATTAACTACCAAAAAGCTGAAGTAGAGCTGTTCAAATGGCAGAATGGAACCCTTGAGCATAACAAGTTCAGGAACAGCACCACAGGCCCTGATTTCAAGCACCAGGAATAGAAGAAAAACAAGTCTGAATTGCTTTTCCAGATCACCTCTTACAATCTATGCATCCACATGTCTGCTTAGTTGAACTGTGCAACTGTTAATTTTAACTATGCTGTGAATGAGACCTTCAGAAAGTGTTAATTATATGCATACACCAGAAAGAACACAAAGACCTGTATATAGTAAACAAGTGCTCTATCAAGGAACAATATCTCAAACCCATACGCAGGACTTTTTAAAAAATGAATATTACTAATACACATTTTCAAATTGTTTAAGAATGTGGATTATTGTCACTAATTCTATTCTACTTTTGGCTAGACATTGAGAAGGTATTTATTTACAATGTAAACATTTCAAAATTATAACCATAAAAGCTATCATTAAGGCTTAACATTTATCATTTTATTTTCAGTAGACAAAAATATTGATTCATGGGGCTGGGAAGGTGGCTCAGTGGTAGAGCGCTCGCCTTGCATGCTCAAGGCCCTGGGTTCGATTCCTCAGCACCACATAAGCAAACAGAAAAAAGCCGGAAGTGGCACTGTGGCTCAAGTGGTAGAGTGCTAGCCTTGAGCTGGAGAGCTGAGGGACAGCGCCCAGGCCCAGAGTTCAGCCCCAACAACCGAACCCCCAAAAAAAAAAAAATATATATATTGATTCAATTGTTTATCCAAAATTATATTTGTTGAAGTACTACTACTCTGCAAGTATTTATATAGGATCTTGTGATATATCGGTCAGTAAGCAAATGAATATGATAAAAAATATCATCCAGAAATTTTTTCATCTGAATGAAAATATTCCTGTATGGAATTGTACAGAATTTTATTACACTTAAGAGCAAAGTTAAAAAATTAATCAAATAGTGCTGGTCTTCACGATTTACAAAACCAAATCAAAGTGATACATAAGCCAATTATGATAGCTCAGCTCAGTACTGTAGTCCCAACTATTGGGGTGGTGGAGAAAAGCAGGATTGCACTTTGAGGATTCAAACTGGAAGAAAAAAGGTTGGCTTTCATGGTACATGTCTGTAATCCCAGATACAGGGAAGCAGAGGTGAAATTATCCTTGTCAAAAGACCTACCCTGGGAAAAAAACTTTATCTAAAAAACAAAGGAGGAGGTAAAAATGTTTGATAAGAAATGTACTCATTACCTTGCTCATGTAACTGTAACCCCTCTATAGTATTTTTACAATAAAAAACTTATTTAAAAATGAATAAATCAAAAAAGGGTGCTGGGTGCAAGTGGCTCATGCCTATAATCCTAGCCATTCAGTAGGTTGAGAGCTAAGAATTTCTGTTCAAAGTCTGCTTCAGTAGACTTTGTCTTTTGAGAGTCTTATCTCCAGTTAGCTACCAAAAAGCTAGATTTGGCTCAAGTGGCAGAATGCTAACCTTGAGCACAATAGCTCAAAGACAACACTGAGACCCTGAGTTCAAGTGTGTGGACTGTCACTGCAAAAACAAAAAAGTACTAAGGTATAGTTTTTTAAAGTGGTTGAGCACCTTTCTAGCAAGTATGAGACCCTGAATTCAAAACATAGTGCCACTCAAAGCAAATTTGAAAAACTAATATATTTTGTTCAAATCTCCCAACTTATAGGTTATGCCATATTTATGAATACCACATCTAATTGAACACTAAAATTTCCAGGATATTGTTCACCATTTCACATAATTGTCAATGCTGGCAATGACACTGTAAAAATAGTTTTATTTTTTCTTTTCATAGATGAAGAGCTAAGACTGTTATATTTTGTCAAAGACATAGATGGTTTGTTGGTGATATCTGTCACATTGGAAAGAATATTGTGTCATTTTATGATGTAGGAAACTAATTAAGGAAAAACTATCAGCTAATACAAGGTAGTGTATTAATTGGTGCCAGAATAAATAGCATTTTGGAGAGGTGTTTACTTTCACCATTAAAATTTATTTATTTTTAATGAATAATTGTATTTTGAAATATTACATTTAAAACATATTCCAAAATATCATTAATATTTTGGATACATTAGTTACATTTATTGAGCATTATTTGTAAAGTTGTAACAAAGACTTTTTATGAAATTTTGTCCTCCAAATGTTATCTAGCTATGATATCAGTATAGCAAATTTATATTTTTCTGTAAAGTAATAAAGAACATTTTAGGTGAAATAGAACACTTTTATTTGAATGTCATGTTTGCTTATTGCTTAGAAAGCTATTTTTAGATACTTTTCTTGGTCCAAGATTGTAACAATAATATATAATACGCATGTATTTTCCATTGTCATGATTGTCAATTTTTTTTTTGACTTTGGTCCTTAAACCCTACAGAAACTTGGCTACAAAATTTGATAAGCAGATAGAATGTTTCGTAATGCGGAAGTGGTGCTGTGGCTCCAGTGGTAGAGCGCTGGCCTTGAGCTGAAGAGCACAGGGACAGCGCCCAAGCCCAGCCCCACGACTGACAAAAAAAAAAAAAAAGAATGTTTAGTAATGAAATTATAGCTTTTTCTCTGAGTCTCAACCAGTCTTAGAAATCATTGCCTTGGGATCTCTTCTTAGACTATTAATTCCCAGAGGAGGAACTGGAGGCTTAACTCAAATGGTAGAGTGTGAGTCATGAACAAAAAAAGCTAAGCAATGATTTAAGGCCTTAGTTCAAACATGTGCACACACACGCAATTCCCAGAGGATAGTTCTGTATACCTATAGTAGCTGATATAACAGTTATAGTGCCTACAAACTGTAATCTCCCACCAATACTTTATTTCCTTTTGAAAGATGAAGTTTAATCTTACACAAATATGAAATGAAAAACAGACTTCATAACATGCATCAGTCATCAGTGATATTGAGTGAACTTGGGAAATAGTCCCAAAAAAGGAAGAAAATTTCCTCAAAAATATCTAAGAGATGATCTCTAGGAAATCTTCTTTGGTTACTTAGAGCTTTATGGTTAACTGATGAATAGAATTTGAAAATAAGTAGCTGAAATTTTCCTAGCAAGTGTGACTGTACTTACATATATTAAAGCCAGATTCAAGTCCAAGTACAACTTGTTATGCTTAAACTATATTAAAAACAAATGTGGATTAGGTACCAGTGGATCAGGCCTGTATTCCCAGGTACTCAGGAGGCTGGGATCTAAGGATAATGGTTCAAAGACAGCAAGCAAAGTCCATGAGACTGTTTCTCCAATAAACTAAGGAAAAGTTGGAAATGGCACTGTGACTCAAATTGTAGAGTGCCAGCCTTGAGCAAAAAAAGCTAAGTGAATGTGCTCAGGCCCTGAGTTCAAGCCTTAGTCCTGGCATTAAAACACACACACACACACACACACACACACACACACACACACACACACACACACACACACACACACCAAAAGAAAAAACAACCAAGAAATAAAAACCAAATCAAACAAACAAAAAAACAAAACAGAAAAAAAAGTAAACTAAATTTGACTTTCTTCCTTGTGACACATTTTCTGGCTTCTAAGATGCCTATATTCCCTGTTATTTTACTCCTAGCTTGCTTCACAAGTCTATATAACAGCAGTAACAACAACAACAGCAAATATAATTAAACTTCTGTAAGATAGTATAGGATGGAATTCCTCAACCTCTCACATTTACAGGAAGGTGTGCATCTTTGAGAAGGGAGTGTGTGGAGTATACAATATAAGTAGGTTGGTTTGAAGAAATAGATTTTATCATAAAAGGAAGTCACAGAAAGAAGGCCATGAGTTCATTCCATGTGGGAATCACCATTAAATTTATAATCTAGGGATTCTCACTGTTCTATCTGTATTATCTGTGTATTACCAACTTCACATTTGTGTATAAAAAGCCATTTATTTTAAGTATTCATTTTGTCCATGATATGTGGTGAAAACAAGTACTTCCCATATATGTATGATGATGCATAGGGAAAACAATTATTTAAATGTAACCAAATTCCTAGAATGTAACAAGTACCATTTATTCTGCTTGAGTTATCTTGGTGGGGGCCCAACAGAAAGTTTTTCAAGGACTTTGGCTTAAGATAATTCTTCAAGGGCATTTTGTAATATCTGTGTTTCTCTACTTGCATCACTTACATCAATGCTATTTGTAGTCACCTGTGGCTAAGAAATAAATACTGACAGCTGGATTTAGTAAAAATGAGGGATATAGTTAATATCGCTATAGAACTATATAATTTGTTAAAATATATGCAATTACATAATTTGGTATGGTGTTTAAATGTTTCCTCTTGAAACTAAAGAGAGAGAAAATGTAACTAAATTTTATCTTTGTTGACCCACCGTTTTCCTGGAAGCATGGAAGGCCTTACCGGGAATAAGATAATCTTTACTGTTTTTCATTAACCTGTCCTACTTAATGGTCATGTATTTACTCCTGTAGCTCACTGACTATGGTATTCTGTATTTTTTCTAACCAAATGCCAAATATTTTTAATATTTTAAGTGTTCCTTAAAAGCTAGTTCCATTCAAATACCAGCCACTCTTGCTTGTAATCCTAACTACTCAGGAGGCTGAGAGCTGAGGTTCATGATTCAAAGCTAACCAGGCAGCAAAAGTCCATGAGACTCTTATCTCCAATAAAGTACTCAGAAA